CAGTTGCTGGATGTTATGCTAGTTATATGTTTAGTTTTTTAAGAAACTGCCAAACTGTTTTTCAGAGTAGCTGTACCATTTGATATTCCCATCAGCAGTGTACGAAAGATTTGATTTCTCTGCATCCTTGCTAGCATTTGTATTGTCACTGTTTTTTATTCAAGCCATTCTGATAGGTGTGTATCGATATCTTATTTAAGCATTTCGCTAATGTTGAACATCTTTTCATGTTTTTATTTGCCATCTGTATGTCCTCGTTGATGAAATATCATTCATGTCTTTCGCATATTTTGTAATTGGATTGCTTGTGTTTTTAAGGTTGAGATTTGAAAGCTCTTTAAATATTTTAGATATGAGTTCTTTGTCAGATATATGGTTTACAGATGTTTTCTCCCATTCTCTAGCGTGAGTTTTCATTCTCTCAACAGGGTCTTTCCCAGAGCAAGTTTTTTAATTTTTATGAAGTCCAGTCTATTGATTTTTTTTCTTTTATGGATTGTGGTTTTGGTTTCATGTCTAAGAACTCTTCACCAAACCATAGATCTCAAAGATTTTCTCCTGTGTTATTTTCTTAAAGTTTTACAATTTACCTTTTAAATCTGTTATCTATCTTAATTTTTATATAAGGGTGAGGTTTTGATTGAGATTCATTTTTTTGTTTGTTTGTTTCGTTTTTGGCCTATAGATACTCAATTGCTCCAGCACCATTTGTTGAAAAGACTGTCCTCCCCATTGGATTGCTTTTGTGCCTTTGTCAAAAATCAGTTAGCTGTGCTTACATGGGCCTATTTCTAGGTTCTCTGTTCTTTTCCATTAATCTGTATATCTATCCTTCTGCCAGTACTACACAATTGTGATTCTAAAAACAAACCAAACCCACTGCCGTTGAGTCGGTTCCGGCTCACAGTGACCTTATAGGACAGAGTAGAAGCAGACATATGGAAGTAGACTGCCACATCTTTCTCCCAGAAAGTTGCTGGTGGGTTTGAATGGCTGACCTCTCAGTTAGCAGCCAAGTGCTTTAACCACTGTGCCACCAGGGCTCTTTTCACCGTGATTACAGAATCAGAATTACAGATTACAGAATTTGATGTGCTGTTGTCTTCTTCTGTGTAATATGGGAACATTCAGGATAGATGAAATAATAATTAGAAGAGGGAGGGGTCACAGGGTAGGTTCTAGTCTCCCTGTTCCTCTTGGTTTTCAGTTAATATCATAGCCAACATAAGTCAGTTGGGAGCAGGAATGCCATTAAAGGATGTGGCAGGGCTATGGGGGCACAGTACTGGAAAGTTTGGTAGGATGAGGGCTATTGAGTGAGAGGAGATGGTAAGGTACTAAAAAGAAGCTCACAATTTGGCCTAATACCACTTGAATTAATAAGCCAGCCATAATTTTCACATCCATATTTATTGATGTTTGCTACATATTAAAAATGGAATAGTTTTACTGAGCTCCAACAAGATTGAATTAATGGACTAATTAATCTTTAAAAAAAATTAGAATTTGATTAACTACTCCCAACTGACTAAATTTGCTTTAGGGCTGAAACGAAATCATATTGGGGTTAAATCTCCAATTAAAAATGTAAAATATCATAATAGCAGTGGCATTGCTATTTATTGTTACTGCCTGTTTCGTTGGGATTGTAAGGATTTTTTTTGTAGGTATAATGAAAACTTAGCAAGCATTTTATGACCAGTCTAACAAGATGGACTAATATTTAGGTTCAGAGTTAATTTCTGCCTGTTGTTTATCTTTCTACCTCAAAAGTACCTGTGCATTGAGAGCTTTTACGATACGAGGAACACTGTCAACATAAAAATATTGCTGTTTTTAAAGCCGTTTTAGAGGAAATCATATTTTTTTATAACAAGTAGTAATAGTAATGTAGTATGTTTGTTTTCCTTTAACTGAAGAGGAGTTTTTAATGAAGTTAAAATGAGTCAAAAATCTAAACAAATCAGTTAACAAAACTGGCTACATCATCTTACTGAAAACTATAATTATTTAGTATGTCATTGGTAATGGTTGGTGCCAAATGTGAGTCATTTCTTCTTCAGCTGAATTAGAAATCACCTTTGGACCTGAAATGTCACTGGCACTTCTCTTTACTTCTTTGCCACTTCCTGAACAAAAACACTCTCTTCTACAGAAAATCCAAAGAATGTGTATCTGGCAGAAAAGGAGTAACAGGAAAACTATAGGTGTGCAAGGGGGGCCAAATCACATTCTCAAGACTGCTCAGAGCCTCCTATATTTTTGGCATTTTGACTTTGATTCTACACATGGTGCCTAGCTACAAATAATCACTATATTGAATAGGATTTTATTTCTTTGAATTCTTCCTGTTAGAACAAATGGTGCCTAATGACTATGAAGGTACTTGAGGGATCTAAAATGAAGCCAGGGTCCTATGCTGTGTCTCCTCATCATGGCTGCTTCTTAAGTTTCATAGGCATGCAGAATGTTAGAAGCAGATAATTAATTTATCCTTTTAGGGTCCAGTTGGTGGAGGTATAGATTACTGTGCTAGAAATTACAAAAAAACCATCCTCTTTCACATGTAAAACTGAGCTCATAAGAGAGCAAAGAGGTTCAGTCTCTTGTGAGAGCTCTTTTTATTCATTGTCCCGAGTCCATCTCCCTCTGATGTACATTTCACTGGGATACCCTCCCCCGATTCCAGTAAAGGAAAGATAACTCTAGAAGAGCCAAGCATATAAAATGTGTTGAAAAAAACAGTAATTGCCTTGTTGGAAAGTGTACGTAGCCAGATCCTGAACACAGGTTTCATTTTTGGCACGAGAATGGACATGTAGTGTAGGAGAAAAAGAATGTAGTGAATGATTTCAGTGAAGTGTTTCCCCAGAGATCTGTGGGTGTCAGCCAGAGGAGAGAAGAGTGTTGTACCCAGTTTGTCACCCAGATTTGTTCTCTCTGAAGTACATCCCATTCTAGCCCAGAGTGATTTGAGAACCTCTGTGTCTCGTCTCTGGACAGTGAGAGCTAGTGTGCAGTTCCTCCAGGTTAAGATGACTGTTAAAGTATATGGGTGAAAGTAAGATGACTTCCTCATTTTTCATTATCTTACAGGGTTAGCAATATGGCTGTGACTGTATCTAAGTACTATATACATCCTTTTTGAGATGTTTGAATATATGAGACATTAAGAGTTATTGCTCCCATTCTGATGTGGTCATAACATTGTGTGGGAGTGCCAGCTGAAAAGAATTATCTGTGAAGCTGGCAGAGCCCGGAGTGTGCGTTGGGGAAGAGGTGACACCTACATTATTTGTCACTGGGCTATTATACACCAAACAACAAAGATGCTGACTCCAAATCAGCTACTTAGTTTTCCTCCTAGGGAACAGAGTGCCAATATGTCAGCTGCCAAACAAGGAAGAAAAATCTACAATATGAAAATAATTTATTCTCAGTTAAGTAAGTTGTCTGCAAAAGAACCTTTGTGAGCTTGATACTTCACATAAAGCATGAGGCTTTTCTTCCTCTGAGTGACTAAAGATTATTGACCTTAGTGTTCAGTCTCCTGGATGTGATATCCCAGAGTACACAAAGCTGCAGCTTCCCAGACAGATAACTAAATTTAAATGAAAAAAAAAAAATTAACAAAACACTACAGTATGTAAGTTAATGTGTGATTCATAGTAAAATGAATGCTCCTATGGTGAAGTATTTCAGATTTCATAGTTTTCCTAATCACGCGTTCATGTCTGTTTTGTTTCCTTGCTTCCTTATGCTAAACATCATACAAATTTTAAAAAATGGTATCTAGTACTGAGAGAGTTCCTAGGGAAAAGTGACATTCTCTGAGGTAAACAGGATCCAGATCGCTTAGGACTTATTGATTTTATGATCAGTACTTACGTTGTTGCTAAAAGCAGATAGCTTTCCAATACATATCTGAAACCTAAGAGGCCTTTCCACTTCAATCTATCTTCAAGAACAGTAAAGAACTGACTGTTCCCCATACTATTTTTCAGGCAATTAGTAATGAAAACTCACTTTAATGGTTATGGTCATGTATCTATAGAATACTAGCTTAAACAAATGATTAATACTATTATGTACCTCTAGTGAAACAGAAGTCAGAGAGATTATCAGAGGATGAAAAGAAAACTTACAGCATTTAAAAGATTTCCATCTCAACTCCATTATTGCTTTTTGTACAAGTAACAATTGGTTGGGTTTTATTTCTTTACTAGATAGGCTTGATGTTAAAAGTGCTTTGATGGCATCACTAAGACCCTGAGTCTTAGAATTGTAATTTAATCCATTAACTGACTGTCATTTTCTTATATTATGCAATGACCTCCTTTTAATAGGCATTTACAAAGTAAATTTAGAGTACAGTAAAACTTGTTAATTCAGAGACTTCTATATTTGAGAACTTGTGATTATTTGATTTGGATTGAACTGGAATTTATCTTTAATATCTGTTAAAAAAATAAGAATGACTTGATTCTGTAGACTTTAATTTCATGGACTATATATGAAAATACTTTATAGAGTGTATGGAAATACACAGTCCTGGAATGGAGAGAAAAAATATCTTAGAGCAGTAGAGTTGTACCTATGTTTCTGTTTAGAAGCTGAAGTAAAAAGGGCAGAAACATCCTAAAAACTTTAGGGAGAACTCAAAAGCGATGTTGTAATGTGTTCTCTGTATTTTGTGGAGAGGCAACATTATGTAGTAGAAAGAATTTTAGGATGGAAGTCTGGAGATTGTAAATTGTGAACTAGAGGGCATATCCACATGTAAGACATTATTATTAGGGAAATTATTATTGTAAACAAGATTAAACATATAAGGGGAAAATACTTAAGTGATCAAACTTAACATGCCCCATAAAGGGAATAACATATTTTATTAATATATAGCAGTCTTTTCCTAAAATATCTTTAAAAAAACAAGTTGAAGAAAACTGAATTTTTTGTTAATTAATTTGAAACAGAATTACTGGTTTTGTCTTTAATAGGGTCGGTGGGAAAGTCAACAGGATGTGTCCCAAACAGTACTTTCCAGAGGAATAGCTCCAAGTCCCCCATCTCTTTCTGGTTGTACCCCAAATAATCATTCTCCTGATCCAGGTAAGTTATATTTTCATTTGTCAGTCACTTACCTGAAGTTTGAACGTATTTCAGAAATTGTATAAATCAGGATTTCCTGCCAGGTAATCACTATTCTACTGTTTAATGTCCATCTGAATTTTTCTTTTTATTGTCTTAGCATGTTGAATGACATTGGTTTTTGAATGTTGAACTTACTTAGCATTCCTGTGATAAATACCACTTGATATTACATCATTTAAAAATAACGTATTTTCTTTATTTTACTTGATTCTTTTTGCTAATATTCTTTTAAGATATTTTGTGTGTATGTTCAATGATTGATATATACCTGTAATTTTCTTTTCTGATAATAAATAATGAACTTATTAGGGTTTGGTATCATGGTTATGTTGGCCTTGTGAAATGACTGGGGAAGTGTGTCCTCCTGCTGTGTTTTTCAAGGAATTTTCTATTTCATCTGAATTATTTATTTTTATAAACTTCACAATATTCACTTATCCTTTTAATGTTTGTAGGATTTGTTGTGGTGATTCCTCTTTTTATTCCGATGGATAATTTATTTTCCTTTTCAGTATTTCTTGAATAGTTTTGCACTGATTTTATTAGTTTTATTAATCTTCTCAAAGAACCAATTTTGGCTTTGTTATGTTCTTTATTGTTTCCTACTCTCTTGATTTCTGTTCTTAAGATTTCTTTCTGCATTTCAAAAAATTTGATATGTTGTGTTTCATGATCATTCTACTAAAAATACTTCCTAATATCCTTTTGATTTCTTCCTTGACTCATGGCAACATGTTAATTAATTATCATGCTAATTAATTTTCAAGTATTAGAGAATTTTCTAGATAACTTACTATTATTGATTTATTATTTAATTTCATATGATCAGAAAACAGACTCTTTAATAATTCAGTCTTTTGAGAGATTTTGAAACTTATTTTATGTCCCAGATTATGTTCTATATTGGTGAACATTCCATGTGAACTTGAAAAGAAGGTTTATTTTGTTTTGAAGCATATTCTTGTTGTTAGGTGCCATTGAGTCAGTTACAACTCATAGCGACCCCATGCACAACAGAATGAAACACTTCCTGGTCCTGCGCCATCCCCCCACCATTGCTATGTTTGAGTCTATTGTTGCAGCCCTGTGTCAGTCCATCTCGTTGAGCGTCTTTCTCTTTTTCACTTACCCTTTCTCTATTTACTAAGCATAATGTCCTTCTCCAGGGACTGGTCCCTCCGGATAACATGTCCAAAGTATGAGACAAAGTTTTGCCATCCTCGCTTCTAAGGAGCACCTGGCTGTACTTCTTCCAAGACAGATTTGTTCATTCTTCTGTCAGTCCGTGGCATATTCAATGTTCTTTGCCAACACCATAATTCAAAGGCATCAGTTCTTCCATCTTCTTTACTCCTTGTCCAGTGTTCACATGCATGTGAGACAATTGAAAATACTATGGCTTGGGTCAGGCACACCTTAATTCTCAAAGTGACATCTTTGCTTTTTAACACTTTAAAGAGGTCTTTTACAGCAGATTTGCCTAGTGCAATGCGTCATTTGGTTTCTTGACTGCTGCTTCCATGGATACTGATTGTG